GGATGCAACTGGGATTCCATCTAGTATGGGTCCCTCCCTCTCTTCCAAAGTGAGGGTCCTTCTCTTGGCCCTAGTGACAAGGTAGAAATCCTTCAGTTGTTGACTGTGCCGATCTTGGCTTGCTTGGAGGCTTCAATTGTTGTAGCCTCACGGCTCTCCGCTGTAGTTGCTTGTCCCTTAGCCTCGGCAAGCTGCACTTCGAGGCTTCTGATCTGCTTCTCGGCCTCCTCTGCTCTACGAATGCACTTCCTCAAATCGGTGGCCTGCCTGTCATACTGCTCATCTAGGGAAAGCAAGTAGTCAGACATGAACACCGTAGTTGGGTCATCTTCCCGTAATTCGGCCCCTTCGAGGGTCCTCATCCAAGCTACCCATACAGGGCTGCTCCTTACCAAAGGGGGGAAGAATCTCATGGGTGTACGACATATCTGCCACTCATAAATCTGGCATAGGTACCTCAAAGCCTTGTGAGCGGCAACTTGGTAAGTGTCCTCGAAACTAAACCCTGTGGTAGACACCACCCATGGTATTGTGTCAGGAAAATCTAGGGAAAGCTATTGTAGGTCCCTCTTATGAGGAACCACCATTGTTGTGCGGTCCCGTCATTGTCACTCGGAACACTAAAGGAGTGACCATGAACTGTGCACCACGCCCAGGGTCACAAACTAACACATGCATCCCTAGGTTGCCAACCCTTTTGAATGCGTACATTCTTTCATATGCCCTACTACCAAGAGTACGCTTATGAAGACAACGTGACCTGTAGGCAAACCATCATACAGTTACAAATATAAATGGGAATGAGGAACCTAGGAAGCGGGAGCATACAAAAATGAGAGGAAGACGATTCTGGCATTCTCAGACTGCATAAAAGTCTTAAGGCTAGGGTAACCCCCAACAGAAGCATTAAAAAACGATGGCCTCAATAAAAAGTCGACTTTGATGTATAAATGTTTGTTGTGTTGTGGTCCACACTAGGCTCATGCTATGGTTAATGAGAAAAAATCTGCTGGATTTGACCCCCCGCTGCATTGGGGATGGCCTAAGCATGCCTATAGTGAAGACACTGTCTATTTTAGGGTATTAAGGGGCTCGTATGTTGATGGTCGCCCTATATAGGACATGCTTGCTCGATGCTTCACGGGCACGCCTTTTATTGCCTGGTTGGCAAGGAGGCGATGACACGTCCTGTGGTCCATGGCCACGCCTTTAGTGGCCTGGGCGACAATGAGGTGACAACATGTTGATGGCGGTCTTGTAGATGTCCATATACCATTTATTTATCCTCCTATTATGCTATTACATGTGTGTATGCTTTGTTCGCTTGCGAAGCATATAGTTGGAAGCATTAAGTAGATTTGATGATGTGTGCGTGTATACAATGCCTAGTTTGGCAGCGCTACATTAACAGTGCTCCTATTGCTAAACCTCCCTCCTCCGCTCCACCACATAGTCGACTCTTCCTACACCGTGGGCTGGTAGACCTAAGGTTTACAGGGCCATAAGCACTTTCCCCTTCACCACTCCAGTGCAACCTCCCTCACCTTCACCAGATCGAACTATATCTCCTAGATGTTGTCGATTAAACCGGTGGTAATCATGGGTGCCCCTGGCACGGGCAAGACGAAGCTATCAATTGGCATATCCAAGGCCATTGGTGGTGAAGTGATGAATGCTGACAAGATGCAAATATATGCTTGTCTCGACATCGCAGCTAACAAGATCCGCCCAAGTGATCAAGGAGGTATTCCTCATCACTTATTTGAGGTTCTTTCATCAATTGTAGATGACTTGTCTATACCTTCCTTTTGATCTATGGCAACAAGTACTGCGGAGTCTATTGCAAGACGGGGCAGGGTTCCAGTTCTAGTAGGTGGGTCAAACTCGTTGATGCATGGATTTCTTGTCGACCAACTTGATCCATCCCTTGGTAACCCTTTTACTATACCAAGGTATAAGCCAAATCTAAGGTTCGCAAGCTGTACTCTGGCTCCATGCCCATGAGCTGGTTCTTAATGAGTATCTGAGTCGCCGTATTGATGACATGGTTCGTGCTGGCTTAATCAAGGAATTAAAAGAGTATTTTAATACTACGTCGATTCAAAAGACTCCGAAGCACACTGGGCTAGATAAGGCAATTGGTGTGCCAGAACTAAGAGAATATTTTTTGGGGCGCAGGAGTCTTTCTAATTCCATATATGAAATGAAAGCAAATACAAAAGCCCTTGCAAAAGCACAAACTGAGAAAATTCGCCATATTGCTAGTGTTTGGAGCTGGCTTGTCTGTGTCTTAGATGCTACAAAATCCATGCATGCCCATCTAAGTGGAGGAGACCATATTATGGAGGACATAGCATGGGAATGCGATGTGAGGTCTATTGCAATTGATATTGTGAATAAGTTTTTACATAGCTAGTGCCCGTGATGGGTGTCTGTGTGAGTTCCTGTCAGTAATAAGTAAATAAAGTTCAAATAGACCGCACTTTTAATATCTAAGAGTGCTACCATGGTGATTGTAATATGGAATATTATTTTACACCGTCTCGGACGTGTGTCATCATTCTATATGGAACCCTTTTACGTGCTAGTACTTGAACTATATATATGGTAATGGTAATGCATTCGTACGGTTATATGCATATTAGCACCATGCCCTCCCATACTCATTTTCGATTTAATCGCCCCTAACTCATTCGCGGACTTATCCAAATTTTGAGGCCATAGGGCCCATCCACAACCTGAATACGCGTGGCCCACTGACCTATCTAAAACTTCAGCATCGGCTACCCCTTCCCATTATGTCATGACGCCTCTCGCCCTCTCCTTCACTCCCCGACGCAAGGGTACTTCTGTTATTTATTTGACATATTACATTAGCTTTGTTCTAAGTCAAATATTATGACCCTTTACCATCATTAAATATTTTTTTGTTTCACAATATATGAATTATATATTATGAAAGCATTTCTCATAGTGAATTTAAAAATATATTACCTCCGCTGTATAATAATAAAATCAATTTCTAGAATCACCAAATAAATAGTGGCATGAATCTATATAATTTTGATGGAGATCAATGGTTAAAAATATACAAATGTTTGACTAACAAAGTTAGGGGTGCATATACATACAGCTACGATTGGGTACTCTCGACCATATCCAACATCTTTAGAAAAAATTTAGCACGTATACACATATATGGTATTTTAGAGCTAAGTTCTTTTTTTATCATGAAAAGACTCTAGACGTAAGATTCTATACTGCTGCCATCGTACTCATCAAAATAGGCCACAGACAGACCCGGCTTATTCCCATCCGGCCCACCAGCAACTCGCGAAGGCCCAGCGCATCACCAAATCCCACCGCATCCTTTCTCAAGTGAACAAAAAACCGCATTCCCACCGCCTCAATCCCGTCGTCGACCTCCCGTCCCCAACACTGCTGTACGCCGAAGCTCCGCTGCGCCCTGCGCTGGGAACCCTAGCGTCGCTCGGCTCCGGTGGTCCTCCATCCGGCCTAGGCCTGCACTGGCACCGCCCAGGCCCCCGGCCTCGGCCGCTCGCCCACGACCGCTCGCAGTCCGTCCGGCGCATGGCCTGCAGCGGCACGGCGACACCCCAGCGCGGCGGCGTGCTGGCGCCCTACCTCTCTACCCCGAAGGCGAGGTCGCCACGTCTGGCGGCGGTGGCTCCGCACGAAGGCGAGAACTGGCTGCTGTGGCTGGGTACTGAGGCTAGGGTTGGCGGCGGCGTGACGCACGGAGGCGACGATAATCGATGGCTGCTGCGCACGGAGGCTGAGGCCAAGTCCACGCTCATCACCCTCATCAGCGCTCGCCACCCCTCGCCGGTGCTCATGTAAGTTTCGGGTTCTTTTCCCCAAATTTTTACACGAACGCTAGCCAAACCATTTGTTTGCATCCCTCATATTTGTAGGCGCGTGTTAGTTGTTGTTATTATACATCTGCTTATTCAATATGCCAGGGTTTCAAATGTTAGTGTTGGTCGTTGCCGAAATTACGGCCAAGGAAATTAAATAAATCGGTTTTATAGTTCCTAACGTTCCAAAGAAAAAGGGGTAGGGTGGATGATACGAGGACTGATCTTTTCACCTTCTCAAAGGTGGAGGTGGAAACTTCACTCTGGCTTAAATACGAACCAACATATTTTCGGTGGCACAAATGCTATTTGATATGTACATACAGTACTTAAACCGAAATCAATAGTGGCAGCCACCTCAAAGAACAACAAAAATTCGTGAATGCTGGCCGAAATTTCGTTGAAAGTTTGAAGCCTGATGGACGCAGAAATGAGTGAAGGGCAGTTTTGCCAACCCCCGCCCGTCCTGTTCGCTTGGCTTATAAGTCGTATTTTTTAGCCAACGAACAATATTTTTTCTCTCACAACAAATCAGCCATCAGTACTTTCAGCCATGGCTTATCAGCCAAAGTGCCTTTGATGCTGTGTTATGGGCTAATAATTCACAATTAGAAGGAACCATTTTTAAAGCTGATCAAGCATAATAATGCCATGCTGAACGTGTACACAATTCGATGAAATGATGCTGGGTCATCTACGCTGTTCCAAGATGTCTGTAGCTGTGAATCTTATTTATTTGTCTTGAGGACGAGTTGCCTGGTCAGTTCAGGCTCATCAAATTAGAGCCATAGCCATCTGATCCCAAAGTCAGCAACAAGTCGCCCAGCCCAACACAAATCCTATCTCTATTCGTTGCTGCTCATAGGCACAGCCACACTACAGGGATACAGTGGATATAACAAACGAAGGACTACTTATTATAAAAAAGAAGACGGCAAACAAAAGGGATGGTTTCTCTCCAAATAGGAACACTCGGTTATTGCCTACATAGCTAGAAAGCAGACTTCCGAGTAAACAGTGCCTAAACATCCATGGGGATTCTTTGCCTGTTGAGTGCAAAATAGAGGAGGGCTCTGGTCCCATGTCCAACACAAATCATTTGGGTTGTAGGAGATCAGACACTCAGTAGCGGCCATGAAGTCTATCCACGTTCTTCTCAGTGTTCCCATGATGATCATCAGTTATGGTGGTTGCCTCAGCGCCGGCGGTGGCAGCAGCACCATCAGTCACCGGCATGGTCGCCATCAGAGGTGGTGCCGATGGTGCTGCTAGTAGTGTAGGGCACACGAGCGGTGCAAGGAAGGCAGCAGATCTTCGGCCATAGTCCGCAACGATCGCCCTGATGTTTGCCATGATGAGGTGGACACGGAGGTGCTAAGAGATGATGGGACGCTGCACGGCTGGGAAGTTGAACTTGCACTGGCTAGGGAGGCGCTCACCATAGAAGCAGAACATGGCGACATCATAAGCTAGCACCGCCTGATGGGCATACTGAAACATGCCGATCCACAGCCTGAATCGAATGTGCGGGATGCGGATCTCCGTAGCCCGCCCCAGCGTCGCTCTCGCTCTCTCACGCCCGTCCAGCCCAGGCCCTTTTGTGTGTGACGGCAAGCGGACATTCTTCGTACCATAGCCGGACGCCCCTCGCGGTGTTGCTGGGCACGTCCCCTCATTGCCGATGCCACGCTATTGCTTGGCGCGGCTGCCACGGCCATAGCTCGTCACCTGCAATGTACAAAAAAACAAGAGCGAGTGCAAAGCGGTGGTGCGGTGGAGATGAATGAGATAGAGGGTGTGGTTTTAAAGGTGCGGCCAGAGATAGCGTGATGTGATGCTACCTGGCAGGTCAAGTAGCAAAGTATGAATCTAAAAAGAATGGAGGTGACCAAATTTGAACTAACTTTTTCAACGCCTTGGAAGCGTAAACCGTGTATGTAAGATTTTGTATGGTCCTGACAAAGTAGAAGACAATTCCTGATGTATTTGTGCGGGTACGCTAGATTTTATAGATTCATGATAAGATACAATTACACAACGAAGGACCAAGTCATCAAAACCGTTTTATTTCTTGCTCATGTGTCTGTAATTCGACAATCTTAACCATGCCAACATTCCATTGAAGCACAACCAGCAGACACATTATATATGTCCCATGGTTGCCTGCTTTTATGTTGTGAGCAGGCTACTATTTACTTTGTCGTGGCATTGAAACACCATAAAAAATATAATCTAAGAGCAACCACAATGTTGTAGAAAAGTAGTCCATAGGCATTAGAATAGTCTATCAGTTAGCTGAAACATTGTAGACTTTGGTATGCATCAGTATTGCCCTGTTCGCTTGCCTGATAAGCCATGGCTGAAAGTATTGTTGGCTGATTTGTTGTGAAAAAAATAATGTTTGTTGGCTGAAAAAGTACGGCTTATAAGCCAAGCGGACAGGGCGTATGTCTTTGGTTACATGACACACGGCGGGTAAGTTAATGCACTTATAGAATGTCTCTAGGTACACGCGAATTTTTTAGAGTACTGTCACTGGGTGCCGGCGGGTGTGCTAGTCCTTGTCGCCATAGGCAAGTGTGCTTGCCTAGAATTATGCTAATGATGCTTAGGCTTCAAGCGTTCTGTGGTCAAGTTGCTTCTTAACACGGTAATAGAGTTTGATTAGGAGACGCTCCTTCTCATTCAATATGGAATAAATGTCATCACAAACATGCACCACATGTATATATCTGAAGGTGGCAAACAGGGGCGGGTACATATGCGAGCTTACACATAGTCAATGTACACACAAACTACTGCAGGGATGAACTACAATGAGGGCTTTTCCAGTGGGGATATAAAAGCAACTCATCATCCAACGTGGAGGCCAGAAAAATCGACCGACTGGAGTATATGACTCACGCAGAAGAGAGAAAAATCAACTCAAGTTTCAGGCTCGACTCCTCCCGAATAAACAAAGAATTCAGCCCACCTGTAAGAGCCAAGAGCGGAGACATAGCGGCGGCGCCGTAGCCGAATCGAGCGGGGGAGAGCGACTCAGGCGGCGACGGCAGGCGACGAGTCAAACGGCGGCGGTGGCCGTTTGCATCATTTCCACACAGAGGGAGCTTGGTCGTCCTGCGCGGCGGCGGTGGCCGTTTTGTACGCCGGCCCTAGCAGCGGCAACGTGCGCGAACTACAACAACGGGTGAGCAGTTGAGATGCGCTGGCTTGGACGAACCTCCGTCTGAACCAGGCATGCGGTGACACTTCAGCATTTAGATCCGCCGGAGGTGAAAGAAAGCAGCACGATGGAAGAAACAAAGGTCACGTTGTTTATCATTTTTTAATTTGTCGTGGGGCCTGTGGTACTGTTGGGCCAGTAGTCGACTCATGGGCTCAGTTGACGTGACTGTCTTTATCTGAGATGGGTCGACTCACCACTGCGGGTGCCCTGAGGCCATAGCTACTGATTCCTCGTATATGAACTACAAGGAGGACACATGGAGACACCAGGTGGGCTAGGAGGGGTGCGATGAAGCAATGGATGGCACATGCTTATATAGGCAAGAGTTGGAGGAGGAACGGGCGCCTCTGCATGCATGGGTGCAGATGCAAGTATGGTAGCCTTATTAATGGCGACCAACCCCAACTACCGACCACGTCGGGAGCAACGTGCACACAACCCAAGCCATCTCTTAGATGCATGGATGCATGTGCAAGTACAAATGTTCCTGCATGGTCAATGAATTATTTTTATCTTATGGTAAGGATGAGAGGCATTAAATGTGTCCACCTGCCCGACTTATTTTTATCTGATGGTAGCATGGAGGGGGGGGGGCATTAAATGTGTTCACCTGCTTTCGACCCATCCTACGCAAGTGAAGATGCCCCGTGCTTTCAAATTTACTGAGTGAATTTCTGAATAACTTAGGAAGGCACTCGTGTATGCATGAAAATTTACTGCCTAGTATCTATTGATAGTAAATTCATTAATGTAAAAGGAGAAGGCACAAGTGATATAAATTTCTCCTGTCAAAGTAACTTTTTTATGTAAAGTACACGTGAAAGCACAGTGATGTAAATCCCTCTATCGTAGTAACTTTTTGCATGCAAAGTACACCTACAGTTTATATTGTCCTTGCATGCATGGTCATTCAATTTTTCATCTACTTCATTGAATGCGTCCACTTGCTTCATCTGTTCACTGTCGAATGCATGGAAGAAGGCTGGTTGTGACGCGCTTCATCTGAGTCGTGAAATTTCTAACGCACCAACTAAATGAAACATAGGTAGACACCCGGGAGGCCTCCTAGGCGACGCGGCCTCATATCTCTAAATTCATTAATGTAAAAGGAGAAGGCACATGTGATGTAAATTTCTCCCGTTATAGTAACTTTTTTATGTAAAGTACACGTGAAAAGCACAGTGATGTAAATCCCCCTACCGCAGTAACTTTTTGCATGCAAAGTACACCTACAATTTATATTGTCCTTGCATGCATGCTCATTCAATTTTTCATCTACTTCATTGAATGCGTCAACTTGCTTCATCTATTCACTGCCAAATGCATGGAGGAAGACTGGATGTGATGCGCTTCATCTGAGTTGTGGAATTTCTATCTAACGCACCAACTAAATGAAACATACCTGGACACCCTGGGAGGCCGTCTAGGTGGTGAGGCCTCATATCTCTACTAGATGAGTGCCCGTGCGTTGCAACGGATGCAACATAAATTGAATGAGATGTTTGTTAGCCAAGTCAAAATCAAAAATATATCAATTCAATTTTTCACGTGTATTATACCATGATAATGTCTAGAAACACATTCATTATCGTAATGAATTTGAAATAAAAGCTAGGCTTGGAGCTTATTGTCTGAAAGTTACGACAAACATCAGTTGCCTCAAAAGTTGAAAATTTATTGCTAGGCATCGAATTGAATTTATCCATGCTCTACCTTGCCAACACATGTATACTCGGACTTACAATATCCTAACCCGCATGAGGCATGGCAATAATTTATTTTTTGGGAAAAAGTATTTGTTGTCAACACGTAACGCGAAGGACGACGAACGAGATTTGGATCACGATCATGATCATTGCGTGGTGATATTCCAATAAATTTCTTTCTCTTCCCATAATTATCTTTCCGTTTTATTCCATTTTATTTACTTGCCTTCCAGTGTCTCCATGCGGTGATTATTTGCGTGATTCCGTGAGTTTTATTCTATTTTCTTTACTTGCCTTATAGTGTCTCCATGCGGTGATTATTTGTCTGTCGGATATGGATCGTATGAGATGCGGTGATTATTTGCCTGCAGGATATAGATCGCATGAGTATTTTGGTCTTGACAGGTAGATATTGACAATCCGTATGTTTTAATTGTAGAGAAGAGATAGAGAATGGGAGGCCGAGCGGACCGTTTACGGAAAGGAAAAAAATTTCCCACGGTGATCGAGCGGGCGGTTAACGGCTGCGGCGTAAAACGCAGGAGTCCGAGCGGGTGGTTAGGGTCAGTGGTGATTAGCCTGAACGAAAGTTTAATGGCAGATTATATTAGAAATTTTATTTGTTATTTAGGATCAGAATTTATTTGGATTAGGAGTCCTAGTCCAAAAAGTATTGCATGTCTTATAAAATAGGATGGTTGTAATTCCAGAATTTATTTGGATTAGGAGTCCTAGTCCAAAAGGTATTGCATATGTCTTATAAAATAGGATGGTTGTAATTCCTATTCAGATTATTTGAGATCAAAATCTTTGAATTAGGAGTCCTGGCCTAATAAGTCTTACATATGCCATATATGTAAGGGAAAATTGTGATTTTGCCCCTATGTTTTCAACTTTATATTTTTACCCTTGTTATTTTGAATTAAACTGTCCGTCTACCCCTCTTTTGGATGTCCGTCAAATACCCAGGGAACATATGGATTAAAAATTTTGAAACCTGAAAAGAAAAGGCCAAATGACCGCAGTACCCCTTATCTCTTTCTAGCTCTTCCTCAACTCGTCCAAACACACGCACCAGGAGCGGGCGGCGGTGCGATGCAGGCTCGTGTGGTGTAGGGTGACGTGGTGCCTGGCGGCGGTGCGGCGGCGCGAAGCGGGCTCGGGCGCGGTGCGCGGGGGCGAGCGGCGCGGCATCTCGGAGCAGGCGGCGCGACATCGAGAGCGGGTACCGGCGGTGCCTGGCAGCGGGTGTCCGCGACGCCCGGCCGCGACTCCTGGCGCCCGTCGTTCTTCTTCTTCTGGGTGCGTCTCAGGGGCGCTCGCCTCTTGCTCTTCTGGGCACGGGATTGGCGTCAAGGTGCGTAGATAGCCGTTTGGTTGCAATCCTGCGTCCCTCCCGCACGTCCGCCAGATCCACG